AACTGTATCTGCAGATCTTTAAATAAGATTTAAATCACACTGTAAATTAATTAGTTGTTCATGTTCATTTTTTGACGGAACTGAGAGTAATATAAATTCGGACTCCAAATAACTAAAATCCCGAAATCTTTGCGACGAATACTTAAGTGAAATGTCTTCGCGGGCCGCATAAAATTGCTTCGGGGACGCCAATTGGAGACCACTGGCCTATATAGTTGATTTATTTTACGATTCATCAGTTTATTTTTAAAGAATGATTTAACAATATTTATATATTCTGAACTACAGTTATATGATAGTATAACATCAACTGCTATCACTGGCCTCTTTTCCACCAGTTCCTTTTTTTTCCCCCCTTTCGCATTTTTCGTAATGCATTTTGTTTCATGCTAATAATGATTTGCAATAGTCATTTCTCCATCAATCCTCAATAAACAAGATTCATCTTTTTTAGATGGGGCCCAGCTAATCTGCCACCAAATACTGGGAATCTACTGCATAAAGTTTATTTAAAAAAAGAAAGAAAAAAAAAAAAAAAAAAAAAAAAAAAAAAAAAAAGGAAGAACGAGAAAGAAAAAATAAAAAAGGGCAAAAAAAAAAAACCAAAACAAAGCAAAATATAATTTATACTTTACTTCTTTTTTCCTTACTATAATTATTTTTCCAATCATAAAGTTTTCTTTTAAGAACGGTGATATTTACGGTAAGAATATTTAAATTAAACGAAAATTAGAAGAAATGAATGAAATAAAAGAAGTCTGTTTTGAAATAAACTGAACTTTATAACTGAACTATTATTTAACTTAATACTGAACCTTTTTGACACTATATTTGATCATTAAATATTGCAAAGAATGTAACTGAAAGCGAAAATGAATGTGTGTCTTCAAAAATGACAATCAGATTAATTTCAATAAAAAATTAAAGGGGACTAAATCTTCGGAGGGGCATAGGTAAATTCCTTTGTCATTACATAAATAAGTAATACCAAAATAACTATTTATGACAATAATAAAGCCCTAAACAGCTGAGCTATACGCAGAAAAGTTGTGATGAAGAGATCGAGAACATTAGCAAGTAAATGAAGAAGTTGAATAATTAGGCTCGAGTAAACAAACATATATCGCTGTCTGCCGTTTTGTTGTACGTCTAATTCTAACAAGGCGTTGTTGTCAAAGACAGTAGACACAGTTTGGAGGATTTTGACCATCTTAATAGCAGCAATGCGTTAACAAACTTGGACTGAGGTACAACCAAACTTTTTTCAGCGATAAATTGTTGCTTATTTGAGCTAGTTATTTCACTGAACTTCTTCACTTGCTTATTATTAAACTACACAAAGTTATTTCCCTCAAGAAAGGCATTAAGTACAGAAGCAATGAAAACAAAAATCAAATTAGACTGGATTCTGAAACATTGGTACACGTGGGAAATTTCGTATTAAATACTGTATAATGCCTGTACCACAGACGAAGCAATACTAAAATCCCTTACCCTAAAACAAATAACCAGAACAAGCGTATCCAAGACAGCAGAAACAAAACCTCCCTACGTGCCTAGACATGATGCTATCTGTTGACGTCATGGAAACAACAAACTCTTATTGGGGGAACCGAAACACAAGTGTTGCAACTGTCAGACAATCGGATAAAGGCTAACGATGTTCTAAATGTAACAGGAGCTAGTAACGCTTCACTTAATTCGGACCGAGAAGGGGTAGATGGGGAAGGAAAAAAAAAAAAAAAAAAAAAAATGTCCCACTAATCCGATTTGGGGAAAACTTTGTTACTCCTGCATTAGGGTAAAAGAGGAAACATAAGGAAATTAAACGCTGAGAAGGAATTTCGGTGTAATTATAAAATAAATATACAACAAACCTTCATTTATTCAGAGAAATTCGAGTGTATCGGATTCAAATCATACCATCATGTGAGAGAAATCAGGTGCAAAAAGAGATCAGTAGAATTAAATTATTACCGACATATATCTCTTTTAATGTCCGAAAAATGCTATCTTCTACTCCACTTTAATATTAGATAAAATTCAATCTTAAGCGATCTTTATAACGAAAAGGAGAATATTTTTTTTTTAAATTATTATTCGTCCAAAGGGGCAATTCGCCCAAAAGGAATATTAATTTCGTTTTGGCATTTTGTGTTGATTCACTAGAAGCGTTGTTTCACTTTTTAAATTGTTGCCACCAAATATTATCGCTCTGTATTATATTTAAAGAAATTAAATAATGAAGAATCTGCATAAATGTATATATGTTGTGATAAAACAGCGATATTTAGAGCCATCAAATTTTGAATAACGCAATCCTCCTGCGAATATGGGCATCTGGAAGCCTAAATTTGAAATTTGTTTTATTATCGATTTCATATTTTGTAACGAATTTTTGATTAACAAACTCAATAATTTCAAGGCAAGCAATGGCAACGCTGTGCAGAAAGTACAGCTGTACTGTATCGGAAATTATAAATATATGCTAATTTTAAAATTATTCCGCAACATTGCTCTTGAAATGAATTTTACAGAATTTTACAGTTTAAGTGAAAAAAGCACGATAGTTAATAAAGGTAACACACAAAATGTTTAAAGAAAAACGCTCCTCTGGACGTAATTTAAAATCTGAAACCTTTTAGATTTTTTTTTTTTTTTTTTTTTTTTTTTTTTTTTTAATTTTGCCAATAACAGTAAGAATCGGAGACATAGGCTTTAAAGCAATTGAGTTCCTGAGCAAAAGAAGATTATGTAGAACATGTGATATGCAATTTGAATTCCGAGCATGATATATTATTCTGGCGTTCTAATCTTTGTAATGCGTAGCCTTATTAGAATAACCTGCAAGCTAATTTAGGATTATTTCATGCAAATAAAACATTTCTAGCACTTCTGTCAATTTGATTACAACCTATCATTTTTATGGCAATGTCTGATCTCTTTACAACATTCGCGAAGTATTTTCTCAGAATTATTCTTACTAAAACTGCCCTGTATTTTCTTTGAGTCAGATCATACATGTTCAATCAGACCGGAAGGCTACACAAATTAAAACACGCTGGAAAGAGTTTGGAAGTTAACGCAGCTAATTGCAACCGATGTCTTGTTGCAGGAGGACTGTAATTGCTAGCACCAATGCAACGCTCCGCGTTGGAAAAAGTTTAGAACTTGTCGGAGGCCGTATTGAGTTCCGTTGCAGTCACAGATTAGCAAGTGTTCCTTCTGCAACAGATAAGGATAAAATGAGACGTCTTATATTAAATATTTGTTTGCGATCAGGAGGTAACTGTCGGACATATTTGGAACACAGTTTTTTAGCGGATTACCTATAGGAGAACATACTTTTAAGAATAATTTAAGTATTAAAATCACAACTTAATCATTACGTTAATTATTTTAAGCGCAAAACCAGAGGTTTAGAAAATGATGATTTAAAAGTAAAAAAAAAAAAATATATATATATATATATATATATATATATATATAATTCTCAAACGCTTCTCTACCACAATGATATTAGAAATTCCTTGCATTAAGAGTCATACACTATACGATTATTTATATATACTACAAAATGACAGACACAGTTATTATCTTTTACTTTAATATCAGACACACCATTACGTCCAATGAACCATGAATCTGTGCTAATATTATTCATCGCATTTCGGTAGATACATATTTTCACCAGCTCATTCTTCAATAGATTTTGCTGAAACGAATTTCATTGCATGAACACATTATTGAGAGATTTATTGATAACCGTTTCTTCTCAGCAAATATTCATATTCTATGCACGAGCTTTTAATATCAAGTATATTAGTCTTCATTGCAAACATTAGATATTCTTTGCTGCGGTGTAACTGAAATGTCAGACGTATTTGCCTAAATTATTAACATACAGCACTATCATTTATAAATGAAACAACTCACAAATGTCAACACCAGCAGTCTCAAAGACGGCATACATTCCACATGACTAATAAATTATTGAATAGCATGGCGCACTGTTAAACATTTGTTTATCTTTTAGCACAATACAACTTCTTTTCTCTCTTCGATCTCGACATGGGACGCTTTTTAAGTAATAAAGGGCAATAATTAGCTAATGCTTCTTCATCCCTACTTGAATTTTGTATTTTTTTGGAAGAATTCTCTCCTTGTAAAAAATAACGCTTTTTTTAATTAAATAAAGTTGACCTAAGAGATTATACACTAAACAAACATGGAATATAGTCATATAAATACAAAATATTAAATCCAGTTGGAGGAGAAAGGGGTTAAATATATGCAAAATAGGTGCTGCGAGACTGAAAAATAATTTTAAATGTCTTTTCGATTTCTACTTCATTTAAAAAAAAAAGAGTTTTGTTATAACGTAGGCGTAACGAATAACCCCCCATGAAAATTCTTACATTCCATCGAACAAGCATACGCAGTAATTAGAAAAGGATTGGAATGTGAGTAGCTGTAATTATGAATAGCTGTAGATATAAGTGTGTATCAGATTATGATATATTTTGTATATATAATAAAAGTAGCATGTAGAGTAAAAGAGTGTATCTTGTGAAATAATTACCCACTAAAGGATACACGACAAAATTGATTTACATAAGTAAGTTGTTTCGAATATTGAAATAATTCGACAAGCAGCCTTTTTTAATTCAGAATACTTCGATTCTGGTACAAATTTCCAAAATTCAGTAATCGCCATTGATTTATATTCTAATTGTAGAGCTTGATCTTCTTGCATCACTATTAATTCTAATTCTCCAGATGCTTTTTGGGTCATAATTATATTGTAAATGGAAAACTCACCTTGAATTATGTTAATTTCAAATGGATTCAGAAAATAATAGACGATGGAAGGAAAAGAAATTTGTTACAACGTTGCACTTAGTCTTTCATATTTGTTGACTGTAATTTAAAAGACATTTTGAAACACATCCGGAACGATAATAACTTTTTAAAATATAATAATAATAACACAAAAATGAAAAGGTACATTTATCGAGAGCCACAAATAATCCTTCAAAGAGCCGCAGTTGGCCACCCCTAAAATATGCAAAAAAGCTAAAGTTGCAGAAATAATTTATAAAAGTTACTGAAATTACAAACACTGTTATAATAATAATAACAACAACACATATTGAGCATCCCAACAAAATGATAAGAGTAGGATATATGCTTTAATAACTCACCTTCATCCAAGTGGTGCAGTTTTCTGGTGCAAATTCTAAAAATTTCTGGTACAAAATACGACATCTATCAAACTCTCTTAACTGGATTTCCAAATCAATATAACCTCGGAACAGCTTGTCTTTCGGACGCATTCCAATAGCAGTGCCCTGAAAATATATGAAATGCTTAAATGAATATATGTCTAAAAAATATTTTGCTTTATTATACTTATCTAGATAGACAGACATACTCAGAAATTAAATATTAACAGCATAAATTATCAAAAATTTGTACATTATAATATTTTATCTATATCAATGTTAGTATCCATATCATAACACATAATTTTAGCAATAAGAATTTGATTAAAACCACTGTTAAGAGATTGCAATGTTTATTTCCTTATCAAAAACTTTGAATTAAACAGGAAAAAGTGCAAACATTTTTTCATCAGATAAGAAATGTCTATTATATCCTACATAAAATTAATGCATTATGACATTATATTCTACATAAAAATATTAAAGAAAAGATAAAATAAATATGAGGTAATTTCATGTTATATTTGTCTCAAAATGCTCCTTTACTTTTATCTTTATTTTCACTCATCATATGAGTAAAACAAAGTAGGGAATTATAATGGAGAAACTCAGAGATGTACATATTTAAAAACAGAGAACAGAAGTTTCATCATAATGATGTTCATAGCATTCTGTATACAGAAATTATTAGAACTCAGCAGTATGCTTACCGAAAAATTCAAAACTCATTTAATATTTTTAATTACAGCAAAATTTCAAAGACTGCCATTACCTTTTACAAACATCAATGCACAGCTCATTAAATTCTTTAAATTAATTGATGTTTTGGGCAGAATCTTATATATCTGAAAGTATGCGACCATATTCAGTACCTCCTCCATTTAAGCACCAGAAATGTTAAAGAAGCATATAAATAATGACAGTGGCATTTAAATAGAGAGCATAGAAAATTCTTAATAAGTAGATAAACTTTTATATCACAAATAAATTTTATATTAAAAATACACTAGATACATACAATCAAATGTCATTACAAGGTTAGCCTAACGAATCAATAAAAATGATCCTGTAACCAAGACTGAATTACGTAAAGATATACAGAGAAGAAAAAGATACAATTTATAATAAATAGTGATATTTGATTTATATTTTGAACAGTTAATGTATAATTTAATATAATTAGTGTAATTAAAATTTAGTGAAATGTATATTTCATTAATATTTATTCACATAATTTTTATTTATACACAGTATCAAACAAAAATTTGATTTAAATAAAAATTTGAACAGCTCTCTAAACTTTTAAGTTTTGAAATTTTCATTAGAAGCAACACATTATCATTTAAAGTCTTGTAATAATGTACAAAATGCTGAATGGGGCAGCTACCCTATTCAGCAACACAATTTCAATATGGTACTCGAAATACGCTGGAATTTTGAAATAATCAATGCTCAGTGCTTTCTTGAAATTAATCCTTAAATCATCTCAATAATTTTGGTCATAGATAACTCATGACTAACAGACTATGGAAAATTTTCGCAATTAATACCATGTTGTATATAATCTGTGATCTGTGTAATACATGACTCCAGTTATTTACCATTTGAATGATTCAACCGTGGTTGTTGAATTTTGAACTGTTGCTGAAAGTTTTCTAATGAAATTATACTCAGAAAATGAATATCAAGATTCAATAATTTTTATATACTTTATTTGTATTTTCTTAATAAATATACCTGTGTTTTTTAAGAACATGATTTCTCCCCCCTCATCAAATACAGATTATGCTCTGGAGCAACACATTATCATTTAAAGTCTTGTAATAATGTACAAAATGCTGAATGGGGCAGCTACCCCATTCAGCAACACAATTTCAATATGGTACTCGAAATACGCTGGAATTTTGAAATATGGTACTCGAAAGTTTTGCTACATTAGAATTCAAGATTTAAGAACTTACAGGATTCTGTCCATCGCTATTCGTATCCCTAAACAGTTATCAATTTTAAGAATAATCATCAATCTTAAATAAAAAAAAAATAATGAAATTTGCAAAATTTATTTTAATTCTGTTTAATAAAATATGTGCACAAATACACTCACTTCCAAAAGTTAAGCCTGAAGATGTAAAATGCAAAAAAAGTCAACAAATACTGTTTTGATTCACACAAAATTCGGCAGGAAAGTAGCATATATATTTATGCATAAAACAAAATCAATAATTATATACAGAAATGGAAACAATATTAAATTTTTGTACGTTATCAGATAACGACATACTGGAGACAAACAGAATTATGTATAAAATGAAAATAAACAGCATAAAATGAAAAAAAAAAAAAAAAAAAAAAAGGCATTAATAGGGTATGTGATCCTCCTCATCTGTATACAAAGTTTAAAGATTTTCAATGGGATTAAGGTCGGGAGAATATGCTGGCCATGCCATACGTGCAATCTCTTCACTCTCCAGGTAGACATCAATGATGTCAGCTCTATGGGGACGTGCATTATCGTCCATTAAAACAAAAGTAGGGCCAACTGCTGCAGCGTACAATCTTACAATGGGTTCTAGAACTTCATTTCGATAGCGGACAGCCGTCAGAGAACCCCGTTTAAAGATGTGCACGTCGGTGCGGTATCCTAATGAAATCCCTGCCCATACCATAATGCGTCCGCCTCGGAATGCGTGATGTTCGGTAATGTTTTGGGTCTGATTGCGTGTTCGTTGTTCACGCCATACCCTTATATGCTTGCCATCTGGCTCCAGAGCAAATCTTGACTCATCTTGACATGACACTGTCCCAGTCAGACAACATTCCAATTGACATGTTCCCGGTACCACTGTAATCGTGCCCTTCTTGAATTGGACACATAGAGGAACACAAACGCGAGGTATCCGGGCTGTACAGTCCACTCGTATGTAATCATTCGGCGTACAGTAGTTGCAGAATATCACCTTACCAATGGACGCTGTAACCATAGATGTCACATATGTGGAGGTCGCTCTGCGATTCTGCTTAGCTACAACAGCAATATATCGATCTTCTGCGGTGTTGTAACCCTTTGGCGATTGGCTACGGGCCTTTGGGCAACTGTTTGTGTCATTTGGAATTGTTTCCATAAACGTGAAATTACAGAATGATGAACACCAAAGAAAAGAGCAACACCTGTGATTGACTGTCCTGCTTCTAAGCGCCCAACAGCACGCCAGAGCTCAGAATCTTCCATTCGTCTCCTGGAAATCATAGAAACACATATGCCTTGAAAACAAATTGTACGAAAGTTTTAAACACCTTCTATCAGCACTTACAATCAACTTCTGTAACCCTTCATAAAGCTGGCTTCTTAAAAGACTGTCTTTTTTGCATATTTCTTGACATGAAAGCGCGATTGGCTGTTACCTAACATATTTGCATACTTCCATCTACCTCTGCAGCGAATTGCACCCTCTTCAATTCTAATTGGCTTCCGGAAATTAGCATTTTCCCCTCCGTGCTTAACTTTTGGAAGTGAGTGTATAAAATATTACACTTTACTTACTAATGGAGAATATACACTATAATACATTTTTTATAAATAAAGTGAACATCAAGTGCACTAATAAAGAAGTTTAATTTCCAATCAGATCAGAAGAGTCAGTTTAGAAGTATGCTATTTTAATCCCAGCACTGAATATTTTAAATTAAATGTATTTATAATTACCAAAAGCTTCCTTGCTGCAGTTAAGTTTTTTTCACGAATTTCATACTGAGCTGCCAGGAGCCATATCTTTGCGAAGGTGAATACTTTATGAGGTATTAATTTCAGACATGCTTGGTATACCTCTCTTGTTCGATCTTCTTCCACTCCTTTAACTTGTAACTCTTCAAACAAAGCATAATTTATCCATAAATAGATGTATCGCCGCCAGTACCTTTTATCCTATACATACATACATACATATTTTTAATTTTGCATGATTTCATATTTTAGAATTGCAAGTCATGACTTTCATATTTTAGAATTGCAAGTCTCATTAAATAACTACACTTATCATTTGTTTCATAAGGATTGTTAGGACAACATCCTACAAATTTCAAGTCATTAAAAGAAGTTCTATATAAATATGTTTCAGCTTTTTGCCCACAATTAATAAATGAAGAAAGATCTTAAAAACAATTATATAACACATAGTTACCAATTAAAATTTATAAGATATCATCTAATTCATAAATATTTTCACAAACTGACAAGAGTAAAATCATCATGACAGAGTCAAATTTAATTATAATAAATAACAGGGTATTGACAAATTTCCTCGTTACGGTCCTTACTTTGGTTAATATCTAAATAATAATGCAAATAACCAAAAAGAATAAGCTCAGATTAAAATTACAGCATACTCTTGTTCATTATAGCTTCGTCTCAACCCATGCTCATCATAAACAAATAATTTATCCATACAGTCAAATGTCGTTAATTCGGACACCCATAATCCGGAATGATCTATAATCCGGACCTCAAAGCTACAAACTTTCTGCGCATGCGTCGCGTTCACGCATGCGCACAGGCGTTTACGAGAGCGCGTAAGACCCTTACGGCTGCGAATATGTTGTGCGCATGCGCGTTTAATGTAACGGAGTTATACGCTAAGCTAAGTTATCTAATTCAGTTATGTTGCCGGATTGCGTTGTTCCTTAATCTTCGATTGGATCGGTTATTATTTTTTACAGACTGTTAGAGCAATTTTAAAAGTAAGCTTGAACTTCGATTATGTCAAATAGATTCCGATATATATTTATACAAAGCGAAAGTTTGTTTTGAATCCGAAATCTGTTTATTCAATTTCACGCTGCTCTGCGGCAGAGGGGAGGGGGGGCAGAAACGTCATTATTAGATTATATAGATTAGAAAGATTATGTCAAATAGAAGTTCCGATATATATTTACTAATATGTAATTTGTACTACAAAGTGGAAAGTATGTTTTAGATCCGAAATCTGTTTATCAATTCACGCAGGGGATTAGAAGTTGAATCTTCAGCAACTATCCTTATCTTCAGGGGATGATTTTATTTATTGGTTTATAATTCCATACTAAGTGTAGTATTTCATTCTGTCTTTGATATGATTAAATCAAGTTCCTCGTCATTACAATTCGCTTCCGATAGTGAAGAAAGTGACCCAGAGGTTATTGAAACGAAAAACATTTCGATTGACACTTAGTCGTATTCTCAACACAGCTTATGGCTTGAAAGCAACTTGTAACTGAACAAGAAATATGTCTGTTATAGAATGAAAGAGGAAGTATTATCACATAAAAACGAAGCAACTTTACATTGAGGAAATGTTTAATAAAATAAACAAATAAAATTAAGCTTTTCTTTTTGTAAATTTTGATACCCTTTAGATCATAATTGTTCTTTATTCATAAATTACGGTTTCATATTTTAATTTGTAATTTCTGCATGCCATCTTACCAGATTTAAACTGATGATCTATAATCCGGAAAAATCGATAATCCGGAATCGCCGAAGTCCCGACGAGTCCGGATTAACGACTTTTGACTGTATTTTCACTGTTAACACTTTTACAGTACCAGGGTTCATAGCCACATTCTAGTTAAAAAAATAAGCACTTATAAGCACTTCTCAAGCACATTTTAAGGAAAAAATAAGCACCTGTCTAATTACATTATACACAACTACATAACCTTAAAAGAAAAATTACACTTGTAATTTAAAATATGAGCAATGCAATATTTATTAAGAGAATGAGCATTACCTCAACAAAGGAAAACAATTACCTTTTTTTTTTAAAATTTTAAATGACAGTTCAATTTACAGAATTAGTTCAATGAGAGAAAAAAAACTATGCAGAACTAAATATTACAAAATTTAATGATCATATTTCCGTTGAAAATTATAAATAATAATAAGCCATATTAATTGTATTCGTTTGGCACCTAATAATAAATACATTTATTTTTCCACTCTTGCTTCCTGCAGTCATCCTTTAACAGTCAAAAGCTCAACATTTTCTAAATTTTCATTGCATAACAGTTTTCCCTTAACATATATCCCAAGCAAAGTAATTTAAGCAAAAAAAGAAGCACATTTCTGAAATCAGAAGACGGGGAAATTGCTTCATTCAGTCATCCTTTAACATTAAAAGCTTAACCCGATACTCGAAAATTCCCGAATATTCCGGATAGTAACTGAAAAAAACAAGAGCAGGGAGATTGTAGCCGTTCTTTAGATTTAAATTTCGGCTAAATACATTATTTTGACATTTCGATACGTGCATCATATAAACATAGACCAACGGAACTGAGCAAATATTCTGCTTAGAAAGCACAGTAAAACTCTTTTAAGTGTTTATAAACAAATCTCAGACTGAACATCAAAATTAATTATCTCAGCAAAATACGAGCAAACGTTATTGCTGCAATACATGCGGCGTAACTTCTTGCACATGTGTTATTACGCAATCGGAATCAACAGCTGCCGGTATTCGGAGAAGAAAGAACTAAATAAAGGAAAAGAAAGAGACTTACTAATCTGGAAGTGTTTCTGATTCAAATTTTCAATAGACTGTATTTAAATTTCCGGAATAGAATCAATCTCGCTTGGGGTTGGGTAGACCACAAAAAACTTTTAGTCCTATTCAATCCAGATTGGACAGTGACAAAAAAAAAAAAAAAAAAAGTCCGCTGCTTCAATATAGAGATTTTGCGGAGAAGAAACTCCCAATCTCCGTACTGTATAATGTATTGACAAAAATGAAATTATTTTGACTATTCGATTACTTTCCTTTATTACGCCATTCCGAATATTATTCCTTAGAAAGCTAATCTGTGTGTAAAAGCACACCCATTTTTGGAAGTTTATCTATACTTCAGCAGTTACTGCAACTATTATTATATATTCATACATATGCTCATAATATAAGCATAACGATCATAATAAACACGAATATGAACGGACCACGCGGAACGAGAATGCAAATTATTAAAATCTTGATAGAAATTCAAACGTGTGTAGTATTTGGATGGGTGGAAAAGAATAACGAATGTACCGGAATTTTCTACGTTTTCGCAATTCTTTGGCCAATAGAACGACGTGCACCTGTCTGTACTCTCGCGTGCACCATAGGTTACGTTAATGCAGAGGAAGGGGGGAAAGCAATTTCCGGGAGTATGATTCACCATCTGACGTTGCATATAAGGAAGAAAAGTTGTTTATTTAGTTTCGGCTTTGGTAAGGGGAAAATGTGCGTTCATTAAAAACAAAGGATTAAAAAAAAAAGCACTAAAAGCAAAAAATAAGCACTAAAAACAAAAAAATAAGGGCTTTAAAGAAAAAGTAAGCACCTATAAGGGCCTTTATATTTTATTTTCAAATATAAGGACTTATAAGCACTTGTAAGGACCGCTACGAACCCTGAGTACATATCCTCTGTATATAAAATCAATATAATTCAAGCAAATAAAGAGTGGCTCTTGTGGTATACATATTTAAACATTTCACATTTAAACAAAGCTGTATTTGAATCATTAAAGGAGGAAACCACTTTACATCATTTTTGATACTATGGAGGGAATGCACTTATGCCCCATTCTCTATAGTTAACATTTTCTAGGCTAAAACTCTTAAATTTCCATACAGTCATAATTTGTAGTAGCAACACTGGCAAAAATAATCAAAGAAGTGGAATACATTTTTGAAGGCATTTGCATACCTTCGTTACAACAAATATTTCTTGGTGGCATTACGAGTTGCCAGATAAGTATCTGCACACAATATCCTAAATAAACTTATGTCTGGATTATACTAGAAAATATTTCCTATGACATTAATTGTAATGAGAACCATCTTTCCAACATAATTTTGAAGACATGAATATATTTTAGGGAAATGCGATACATCCTCTTCCTATTTCTAATAATGCTCGGATATATATCTGCTTCAATCCATGATAAAAATGTTACGACAATTGTCATATCTCTACAATCCATCCAGCATTACATTAATTTGTATACCATAAAAATAAATTAAATAACATAATATTTGTAATTAATGCAAAGATTATATTCCTACCTTCTTTAAAGGAACATTTGCTATTGCTCTTTCATACACCTCTCTGATTGCTACAATATTATCTTCACTTTCCATCAGGCGTAAGTAATCAAACCAACTGTCATAATTAAGAGGATTGTTTTTCACTTCCTGAAAATGTTTAAGTGATCATAAGTTTTTGAAACAGAAAAATGGCTGAATACAAAACAGAGATTATTTCACTAAATTAGAACCTTAAAAAATATGTATTGAAATTAACTTTAAAAATCAATTTAATCTTTTTTATATGACACACAACTAATAAACAAAATTAATTCGTAAAATAAAAAGGTCAGTTTTAAGTAAAAAAAAAAGTTTTAGAATGCTCTGAGATAGCATGATTAAAGTATAAATTTAGACAAGGTTTTTGAATGCCTTATTTTTCAAAATATAGCTGATAAAAACTCGATAACTAATCAAATATTTAATTTAAATTTTAAAAAAAAAATTCTATTGCTTGTTTTTATTTTTCCATGGTAAGTTTTTGTAACAACTTCTTTCATTTATAAAATGAAGGTACATATATTCTTTGAAATATTTGAGCAAAAAATGTACTTCTTAAAAGAATTTTTTTTTTTTAATCCAATGGTGGGCATTTGCGTATTCAGCATTAGCCACTCCTACGACCGGAAGTGCTGGCTTTTTTAATGTGGAGGCACCTAATAGGCGGTTACCATTGCCTCCTATGAAGGGACAAACAGTTACAACTATGCCTTCTTTGGGATTCAAACCCTGGCACTTCAGTCTTGCTGTACATCTGCCTGACCACTAAACCAAAAGGGTGGCTTCTTCCCAAAAGAAGTGAAATGCTATTCAAAGCTGTATTGGGTACTTTTTCATCTTTGATATCATCTTAAGATAATTTAATTCTTAATTCCCATTTGTTCATACTTTCTGGTTATTAACCCCCCCCCAGTTTTGATAATAGGTAGATTTAACACATTTTCAGCAAATTTTTGAGTATACATACAACAACAGTAAAAAAATGCACATGCATACAATATGTTTGAGTAGACACACGTCACCAAGTTATACGAATGATGTGAAATGAGCAGCTCTCCGACGCACGTAAAGTAAGATATAAGGGAAGGAACATGCACTATGGGCTATATTCGTGTCGTTATTTCTGCCAGACGAATTATCGAAGAAAGTTGGTTTTTGTCTCGGGAGCATATGTGAAATACAAGAGAATGCCAGGCCGCCATCAAACAAGGCACTTCCAGCCAGATAGACGATTTTACGAGGAGTATGGTGATTGGAATGAGAAGGGCTGGTTGGTCCTTACGTCAAATCGCAGCTGATACCCACATGGATGCGAGCACGGTGCATCGGCTATGGCGAACATGGTTGGAACAAGGAGGGGTGCAGGTGCAGCCAGAGTGACGTCAGCAAGCGTGGATCGAACGCATCTGCCGACAAGCTGTGGCGGTCCCGCAGGTCACTTGTACCACGATTCTGCAGCATGTGCAAGATACCCTGGATGTTCCTGTGTCGACCAGAACCATTTCCCGTCGATTGGTTGTATGTGGTCTGCATTCACGGCATCCATTAAGAAGACTGCCATTGACCCCACAGCATAGACGCCAAGGTTTAGAATGGTGCCGGACTGGAGCGATGTGGATGACAGAATGACGAAACGTCGTATTCTCAGACGAGTCACACTTCTGTTTATCTAGTGACAGTTGCTGCATACGTGTGTGGCATCAACGTGGAAATAGATCTATTGCAGTAGTAACTGTGGAACACCCCACCGCACGACAGCGTGGCATAATGGTTTGGGGCACTATGACGACCCAATGATACTTGGATAATGTACTGCGGCCAGTGGCAATTCCCTACCTTCAGAGGCTACCTAATGCAATTTTTCAGTAGGATAACGCTCGACCACACAGTGCTCGCATCTGCCAACATGCTCTGCGAGGTATACAGATGCTTCCCTGGCCACCGTACTCTCCTGACCTGTCACCAATCGAACATGTGTGGAATGTGATTGGATGCCGTTTGCAGACTCTGCCCCTGCCTTGTTCAGAAGACGAACTGTGGCAAATGGTTGAAAGAGAATGGAGAGCCATCCCTCAGGACACCATCCGCACTCTTATTGACTCTATGCCTAGATGTGTTTCTTCGTGCATCGATGTCCGCGGTGGTCCTACATCCTACTGAGCCAACGCCATTCTTGCTCTATATTCTGACTATCATTTTGAAATAAAGATCACTTATTGCTGCTTTCTGTCTTTTTTCCCAAATTTCATCACTTTCTGACCACTCCTTCTCGGTGTTGCATTTTCAATATTGAGCAGTGTGTTTTTTATCTTACATTAGATGTAAAATTATATTTTTATTTTACATTATATGTGAAATAAAAATATATAAATTAGCTTTATGATATAATATATCAAAAGCCTTGTAATCCCTTATTTATAATTCGAGTATTTCCACTCTCTATTCTAAAAATCGTAGTAATTTTTTTGGACTGCGTTATTTCTAGATCAATCTATGCTACATGGCTAACATGATGTAGCTAATTCGGGACCTGAACTCAAACTGAGAATAGAAACCTTTCTAACCTAAACCAAAGCCTTCTCTTGGTAAGCTTCCTCATTAGATATTGTGCACTTTAGCTTCTTCCTCTCTTCCTGTAATAACGCTATTTTGCTTTGCTCTTCCTATCGCAACAGAATCAAAAATGTAAATGTTCTTGAATAGCACGACAAGAGTGTCAAGTGAATTGACCTCAAATGAATGTTTAAGGCTGCTATCACACGTCGGTTTGTTTCAGAAGAACAACTGTTTGGAACAATTTTTCTGCTTTGTCACAATAGCCAAATCAACACATATCGCTTTGGGGTTAACGCAGGGGAAACTGGTTCCGCATTACAAACAAGCTGATAGCTGATTGGTTGAAAACGAACAACCTGCAATTTTTTTGGGAAGGAAGGAAAAAGTCACGTGTCTTTCTTTCAATAGTAAACCAGGCAGAAAAATTGCCCGAAACAGTTGTTCGTGTGAAACAAACGGCGTGTGATATGGGCCTAATATGCCTCAACTGCCAGATTTCCTAGTCTTTACGAATTCAACATTTTAACATTCTACACAATCAGGAATCTTCCTCTTCAATTATGGATCTACATTCTAGGCCAGGGGTTCTCAACCGGTTGTACGCAAAGTATTTTTAACTATTAAATTGAAAAATTAAAACCCCAACATCCTGAGTTTTTTCTCTAACACTCCTAAATTTATGTGATCTGAGCTTTGTTCAAAAGTGGTAGTAGTACTTTGTAGTGGTGGTACTAAAGGTTTTCAATTTTTGTTTAGGTGATACGCGTTAGTCAAAAGGTTGAGAACCGCTGTTCTACTCTATTACTTGCTGAATACCCAGGTCTGAATTTCAAATCATTCTGAATACTGGACCTTTGGATTTCAGACTTCATACTGTATGTAAAACTTTATACATATTTTTTAGTAACAAATAATGAAAGATAATAAAATATTTAATATCTACATACCTCTTCGTATTGATATTTTCTTCTGCTTACAATAACATTTTCAATGCCAGCTCTATCACCATATTTCTTCTCATGGATGGTATATTTCTTGAAGAGTTCTTGAGCGTTTTCTTTGGGTATCTTGTCTAAAGCATACTTATAAATCACTCGGACTCTATCATGCTACAAAAAGAAATGCTTGATAAATAAAAGAATGAAGTGAAAAACTGATTTTCACAGACTGTGGCAATCTTGCATTCATTCAGTTGAAAGATGTCAGTTTGCCAATTTCATTTAGCATGCATTCTAACATATAACATGCACCTGTAATTTCAAACTGCTTTTTTAAATTTTAGGTATACTTGGCAAATAATGTGCACCTTTTGCTTTATGAAGAAATCTGAAAGACACATGTGCGATGCTCCTATCTTTTGAAGTCATTCATTCGAAGATTTTTTCCAGGCTTTTGAACAACAGTATACTGAATTGACAAGCAATAAGAGGAACAATATAATGTCAGATGTTTTATCTTTGTGTAATCATTTGAAACCATGATTTTGAAGTGAACTTCAAAGGCAAATTGCATTTGCTTTAGGTAAAATACAGTTGATCTAGTGTTCCTTTTAGTAGTTAATATGGCTCCTGCTAACAAAACAAATACAGTGACTTTGCATTTGAAAAGTGCAAACTCATTCAATTTCTGAAAGGAAATAAAAATCATGCTGCAGCAAGGATGTTTGGTGTTGATGAAAGCTCTATATGTGAGTGGAAAAAAAATGATATCCCAATAATTAATATGCCAAAGAATAAATATGCTTTGCATAAAGCAGTAATAAGATGGTCTATCCTACAAGAAAATATTGTGAACTGGATCCTATAAAATTGTCAGAATATATTAATTGTAGCAAGAAACAGTGTACATTTATTTGCTGCAAAGTGGGCAAAAAAGTATGCAAATAAAAGTGAAAAATTCAAAGCAACTTTGAGTTGCAGTCGATTTATGGCACAAAATAATTTAATTCTATGAAAAAAGCAAAAATTTTGCAACTGCTTACGAAAGAGTTCGACAACAAACTGAAAAGTTTCCAAAAGTATGCTATTGACCTACGGAAGCAAAAAAATTATCTACTCTCATATATTAGAAATATGGATGAAACTCCAGCAATGTTTGATATGATAGGAAAATTACATGAAAAGAACAAAAATAGTTTACATAAAACTCTCATATATTAGAAATTCTCATTTATTAGGTAACGAAATATCTCACTTCTCCGCAATGCTTTCCTGCTTGGCAGTCAGTACACAATTAAAAGCCCATAGCTATTTTTAAAAGAAAGACAATGTCAAAATGTAAATTTCCAAAAGGTGTTTCAATCATATTGATAAGAAAGAATGGAAGAAAAGGGTGTGGAAATGTGGATAAGAAATGTTTGGCAAAAGTGTCCTGTTGCTTTAAATAATCCAGAGTCTTTTGAATTGGGACATGTTCAGATCCGATTTAACGGATAATACGAAGAAAATGTGAAAGAGTGATATACAGACATGGCAATGTTACCAGCCAGATTAATACCATAAGCTCAGCCTTTAGATGTATAAATTAATAAACCATTCAAAGAAAATTTAAAATACATGATTGTTAGAGGTGGAAGAACATTTACAAAAGGAGGCCAAATGCATCATGCCAATCTAAAAATAGTATATGAGAGAATTATAAAAATATGAAATGAAATTAAACCCTATTTCAAAAGTCACTTAAAAAACAAAGTATAGCTAACAACCCAGAGAGACTTAAAGATGATTATTTACTTATAAATCAGAGTAACAGTGATGAAGATGAAACAGAATTCAGTGATGTGCCTGAAGATATAACAGAAGATGAATATGATGAACTTTTCAGATTATATGATAACAAAAATTTTTAAGTTCATAAGGTATATCATTTCTTTAAAATAAACAGGGTAGATGTAGATATCCAATTTTTGTATGTTCAACTTTTCCTTATTTTTAAATCTATCATTTTCACATCCAGCATATGTTGCTCACTAGTAAATTTTGATCTTATTTTTTTAAATTGAAAGTATGCATTATACACCAGAATATATTATATATAGTACTTCATGTCTTTATGTCATAATCTGATATTTCTCATAATGATTTAAACTTTTTTGTTTTTGTTATTATACTGAACTAGATTAAGTAATATTTAGAAAATGGCCTCTAACTGTTCAGTTACAAATATTATATTTAAGTTTTGAAATGCCATATCTTTCCTTAAAATTATCAATTTCAAGAAATCTTCTCTTCTTAGAATATTACAGTATCTCTAAATTAAAAAAAAAAAAAAAATTATTACTAATTCTCACAATGTTTTTAATAACATCACATTGGAAATTATACAACAGACTTTAATTTTTCAAATGTGAGGGAGAGTTACAAGTCTCTAATTTCAAAACAAAATTTAAAAAAATGAATAATCACAAAAAGAAAGGCATGTCAAACACCAAAGAAGAAGAAAGTTAGGTTTTATGAATCATACAAAATACACATTTTTAGAAAAAATTAAAAGCCGTACTCCAGCTTTTATGCCGGAGAAATTAAAGCCGTACTCCATCAGTACAAATGATAATACAGAGAAATTGACTTTGTTTGTAGCCTTCAATATGTACAATTATTATTTATTTAGCTTTGAATCAATAGTCACTTTTTATCACCAATCACTAGACAGTGAAATAAATAAACAAATAAAAAAAAATAAAATAAAAATAAAAAATGAGCTTCCCCATATACATAAAGAGTAGTGAAGAACAGGCTTCTTTGATACATTCATATAGCATTCTTCTTCCAAGCTTAATAACAATGTCACGTTCTTTTAAATGTTAATGATGAGTTAAACTTTTGGCAAATCTTCAGCAGTGTTTTGTGAATTTCTTTCAACTGCAAATTCCAACACATCCTTATATATTAAGACTGGACCATAACAAGTGGAATCTTTCAAGCTAAGCTCCTTAGTACTTGTATGCTTGCAAATCAGAATTTATGTGAATAAACTGTCATTGATGAGTGCCAGAATATATTTATACACTAACAGACATTGAAAATGAAGCATCAAGATGTGGCCCAAAAATTATGCACATTTCAGGGTAGATGCATATCATCAAGTTATGTGAATGATGTGAAATGCACAGCTCATCAGCACATGTTGAAGAAGGTATAAGGGAACAGAATTTTCAATTTTTATGACATTATTTCTACTAGGGAAATCATCGTAGAAAATTTGTTCTTATCTTGGAGGACGCACGTAATACAGAATGGCAGGTCTTCATCAACAGAGGCAGTTCCAGCAGACAAACGATTTTACAAGAGGCATGGTTAAAGCACTGATTACTTGCAAAGCACTTAAATCATTGATGATCACACAGTATAATTTTTTTTCTTTCTTTTCGTAGTAGACACTAGCAGAACACGAGTGAGAGAATATAAACGCAGAAATTAAAAATTGTCATGGCATAAACTTGTATCAGAATTCGTTTCATTATGTATTAACCCTATTTCAAAATAGTAACTGTAATAGATTCTGTAGTAGAATGCAGGTGATTGCATCTACAATGAACAGCTAGAATTTTGATGCTATAGAACGCTGAAATGCCGACCCACAAGAAATAAGAAATTTGGCAGTCAAGGTATATTTAATTTAACTTTTATTCCAGTAAACATATTGTGTCCACAAACACGTTGGCACATTTATTGTGTGTATTTGAAAAAGTTTACATTTTTGATAACTTTGTAGTAAGAAAGCAGCAGCAGCAGCAGACAGACGGTAGTGCAGCTAGGGCAAAGCGCGGAAAGCAAGTGTCAAGAGGCATGGTCATCGGACCGAAAAGGTCGGGTTGAACCATACGGCCAATTTCAGCTGACATATACCTAGCCATGTCCACAGCACACTGGTTGTGGCAATGATGGTTGGAACAAGGAAATGTAGCAAGTTCAAGGGGTGCCAGTGCAGCCAGAGTGAGAGCAGCACACTTGGATTGATGCATTCGCCGACAAGCAGTGGCACACCCGAAAGCCACTTCCACCTCCATTCTGCAGCATGTTCAGGACACTCTGGATATTCCCATATCAACTACAACCAATTGCCATTGATTGGTGGCTAGTGGCCAACACTCATGGTATTCGTTAAGAAGACTCTTACTGATCCCACATCATAGACGTCAACATCTGTACTGGTGCCAGGCTTGAACAATGAGGATGACGGAATTGCATAGGGTCGTGTTCATTGATGAAGTCATGCTTCTGTTTCAAAAGATGATGGGCTTGGGTTTTGATCCCAGGTCTTTATATGGCAGAACATGTGCGCTGCTGCACTTCTCATTGGTGCTAATAGACGGCAAAAGGAGCAAGTAACTACATTCCAAGAAGCACTTAGTAAGCATACCACCACATGGTCACAAAAATGATGACCTGGACGTGATGTAAGTGTGAGTGTAGTAGAAATGGGGGAGGGGTAAAACTTTAAAACACCTTTGAGTTTGTGTAGTCAATTTACGGCAGTGAATAATTTGGTTCTATAAGAGGGGGAATTGCAAAGGCTTTCAAAAGATTTTGGACAACAAATTGATAAGTTTCTAGAAGTATGTTATTGACCTATGAAAGAAAATGCATTTACTGTTACATTTTGGAAATATAAATGAAACTCTTGTAATGTTTGCTATGACAAGAAGTAAAACAATTGATGAAAGAAACAAAAACAGTTCATATAAAAACAACAGATCATGTAAAATCTCACCTCACGCTAGTGCTGTCCTCTGAATGGATGGTACAAAATTAAAATCCATGGCTATTTTAAAAAGAAAGATGATGCTGAAATGTAATTTCCCAAATAGTGTTTTCATTCATATTCATGAGAAAGGATGAATGGACAAAAATGGTGGTAAATTTTGGATGGACAAAAATGGTGGTAAATTTTGGATAAGATATATTTGGCAAAAGTGCCCTGTTGCTTTAAAAAATCCAGAACGTCTTAGTTTGGGTCATGTTTAAATACCATTTAATGGATAATACTAAGAAATTGTTGAAAGTGTGTAATGGATTGAATCTAAACCCAACATAATGCAAAAATTATCTAAAAATGTAGTATATCTAAAAATCTAGATGGAGCAAAGGATAATTATTTATTTATGATTTACAGAAACAGAACTGGTGTAGAAGAAACAGAATTCGATGGTGTGCTTGGAGATAAAACGAAAGACGAATATGATGAACAATTCACGTTATCAGACAATGGAAACTTTTAAAACTTTTAAAAATAAACAGCCTTAAGGTACACATAAAAACTATTTTTTGTATGTTCATCTTTTCCTTATTTTTAAATCTACCATTTTTATACCTGGCATATAATGCACATCTGTAAATTTTGATCTTATTATATTAAATGTGCACATTACATGCCAGAATATATGGTAATTCATTTTGCTTATCCCCCCCCCAAAAAAACAGGATTAGAAAATGACAGCGGGCAAAACATGTAGACAGTTCTACTGCCACTAAAAATATAATGGATAACTTTTAATAAAACTTCAAAAACAGGAATAATTTCCAATTATCATCAGAAAACACAAATAGGAATTTTGAAAACCAAAGCTCTTAAAACATTTCATTAAAACATGTTCTACAAGTTCAAAAAATAGCTCTTAATGACCTTTACTTAACAATGGAAATTCAATTAAGACTAATTGAACCCTCTTTATACAGTTAAAATAGCAGAAATGAAATAACTATTACATTTCATCTACAAATGACACAGTGATCAAATATATCAAAGTTAGGCATTCAGAAAATGACCAATATAATGATGCACAGCTAACTATTACCAATTTACTATTTAATTTATTAAGCAGCACTTTTGGCACGTCGGTCAAATTTTCTTATGAAAGTAATATTTCATAAATCATGGGAATTTTGCATAAACAAATATAAGCAATAAAATACAGAGCAAGCAATGAAAATCTGATAACAGCTTCCTTTTAACACACACACACATATATATATTGAAAAACTATTACCAGATTTTGATTTTATTAATAATTTTAAAATATACCTCCTTTTGGTTTTCTTCAAATTTTGCAAATGCAATAAAGAGTTTTTCATCCATATGCTCTTCACCAAAGAATTCAACAGCCCTTTCAAACACTGCTCTTGCTCTAGCTATAAATTGATTCTGTTCTTCAAACTTCGAATATCTGATCCAGTTCTTTACATCAGGATGAACCATTACAAGTAAACATAATTAAGGGAAAAACTCTCACACTTTAAAAATAATACAGCACTATCTTTGAAATTAAACAGAGACTATCAAACAAATGTAAAGAATGACTACAAAAATTAATTTGTAATTACAGCAAAACTCAGTTATTTTGTTCTAAGATATCAGATACTATAATTATCAGGATTGCTTTCTTTTGTTCTACATTAATTAAATTTAATCAATTTGTATCGACATGCTTTTAAAATGTTCACCGATTTAAAGACATTGTATAATAAAATTAAATTAGCTTAAACAGAACAGAAAAGAATAGCTTATTTAGAGGTTTAGTAACATTAATTTTGTTAAAAAAGTTCCACATTTTGTTCACAGAAATAAAACACAAATAAAAGGGGGCAACCATTATTGGAATAAAATGCAAATAAACCTTTTTAACTAGCAGTGCAGTAAATACATATTTTGATTACTTGGAGAGGGGGACTGAATTATCAAGATATGCTATGACCTTTGTGTTACTCTGAATATTTAGAACTCTACTGTCCATTACACTTTTGGAAGGCATTTTCAATGAAGAATTATAATATGTATTTTTTAAAAAAAATTTTAAGATGAATGAAATATATAGAGAGTTTTATTCCAAATTAAATATAAATAGGGGTAGTTAAGTTTATATAAGCTAGATAACAATTCATATCCATCAAAATTCCACTGAAGAAAAGAAAGTTTTCTCAAATTTCAGATTTCTACAAGACGGTCAAGTGACTCGATGACATAACAGTTAAAATGTTTTTAGATGTACTGGAAAATTACAACTTGCATCTATATATGTATAAAAGAGTCATTTTAATTGAGGAACAAAGACAGCACTAAATATGTTAAAAAACTTATCCAGAAAATGCTTCCTGGCAGTTCTTTTCGGCCACTGACTCAGTAATTAACTCAGCAAGTTGGTGTTACTCAACAGAACTTTTAAATGTTATTGAGCCTTCAGAAATCTTATCACACAAGTTAATTTTAAAATAAGGATATCTGGCATAATATATCGTTACAGCGACCAACAAAACTATGCAATAGATCAAGGTTAACCATGATGAATCAATTGCCAAACATAATAGAATTCACCATCATCCTGGGGAATGCCGCAAGATTAAGACATAATCATTACTCACATTCTGTTGATACCCACACATTCAAATATGCCCTTTGATTTCACTGCTTGCGGTTTCTCATCTGGTTTGCATTCATAACGAATATCGACAAGGCACAGGGTCAATCTCTTTATGTGGCAGGTATTAACTTGCAAAATTTGCACATGCAAAATTTTTCACATGGTTTCACACACATAACTTGCTTAACAGTCAGCACACCAGATAGCAGTTTGTTTACATTTTGGACCTACAAACACTGTGTGCCCGCAAGCTTTGTAATAAAATAATGTTTGCTTTCTAATTAAAGTTTTATTTCAGTGTGGTGAAATTTTGCACAATTCACTCTGAACCAAAATTAGAAGAAAATCGCTTTCAATTTGAGATTTCCGGAAAAACTACCCTTTCTAAATAAAGTCTCTTCACTCTACATAAAGGCCAAGCAATGTCGGGGGTACTTCAACTAAGTTCTAATAAAATTAAAAACTTGGTTTTGAGGTAAAGAACAACTTGGTAAAGAAGAATAAATTAATTTCATAAATATTATCAGTGTTTACACACACATATATGTAAAATATAAAAAATACGATGGCTTTGCTCTACACGAACAGGCAATCTAATTAACTTTCCGCAATTTCAAGATCTTCCCCCTAGACCTGTATTTTCGATAGCATTCGAGCATACTACATAACAGCTCCTATAAGTGAAGAATTCATGCCATTTTGGGTCAGAGACTGCTTTTCTCCTCCTGCTGCTAACAGTTCTTTGCTGCCGCTCTTCCCTTTTTTCTCCTTTTGTTCGAATAATATGGCACAGTAAATTTAATCTTATTTAGTAAATCACTATTGATGACGTAATTTTGGAGAATTTAATCTAAAAGAATAATGATTTGCCATTTGAATTGAATAAAGATATGGAGCTTTAATTTAAATCCTTCTGTGTTGTCATTGGATGCCGCCTACACTCATGAGCAACATGTCCAGACTGTTCAATTAAAGTCCCCTTACTCCCATGCGGAAACCTTTGGGCCCTTTAAGAAGTCGCTGCTAATAAATTTCGGGCAGTCTTGTGAGATTCTTTGATCCTATATTCTCTGAGTACCGGAAGTTGTCGAAGGCGCGTGAAAAGTGTTGCCGCGTCGTCAATCAGAGATGTGCCAGTTGACGTACTAAGTAGACAATGGCTTTATATGTGTTTTGCCGCTCATTTTTTCATTTAAACGAAGAATAAGGTCGTAGATCTCTGAATCGGTGGCGAATTGATAGAAAATATGTTGATGCTTTTGCTCTGCCAAAAGGTGTTTTGATTGCGTATTTCAGATTGCCAAAATTTATAGTTAATTTAATTGGGATGACTGAGAGAGTATTTGGAGCCACATTCAGAAAACAAGAACGCAATTTCTACTAAAAGAAAGGTTATACTATTCCTGAATTATAGATATAAATTGTAATTGTACGCTTTAAAAATGTAGAAGATAATAAGTTTATCAAGCACATAAACCTTCTTCATTTAATACAATATAGACATCCGATAACTTCTACTCGATTATGTGCAGCAAGAATTACGTTTACTTTAAAATCTAACAGTTAAATACCTACGAATAATACTGTGAACACAAAAATGTCGTTCATTATTACGCGAAATTCACACTACTGTAAAATAAAAATAATATTATAATAATTATAAAACTATAAAATAGATTTATAATATTTTTTCAGTAGTTGTACTACTATTAGTGTGATACTTTTAAAAAATAAGTTTTAGCCCAGAGGGGCTATTAATTTCGTTTTGCCATTTTGTAGCGTTTCACGATAAATGACGTTTCACCTTTTCAAATCGGTGCCACCAAGTATTATCGCACTCTATTATATTTAAAGAAATTAAATAATGAGGAATCTGCAGAATGTATGAATGTTTCTCGCACTGTGATAAAACAACGGTACCTAGAGCCATGAAATTCTGAATAACGTAATCCTTCATCCTAATATAGGCATTGGAGGCCCAATTGGAACTGGAATTTGTATTACTATCCATTTCATATATCATATTTTGTAAAGCATTTATGGGTTTTTGATTAAGAAACCCAACGATTTCAAAGCGAGCAATGGCAAAAAACATTTCATCTCTAGGCGCGAGACCATGTATCGGAAATTCTAAGATTGCTTTTTTTTTAATTATATGATATTGCCGTTGAATTGAATTTTATGGTTTAAGTGCGAAAAACATGATATTTAATAAATAAAGGTAACACGCAAAACGTTAATAAAACGCCGTTTGGGAGTAATATAAGATCTGAAGGCTTTCAGATTTTTTTTTTTTTTTTTTTTTTTTTTGGTTTGTTGGTGTTGTGTGTGTGTAATTTAATACGTTTTAAAACTGGTTCCTAAGTGAGGACTTTCTAAGGGAACTGGCTCATATACACGTTACACATGGGGAAAGCCACGAAAACGCCGGCCACTCCTTTGCGGGATTCGACCTCGGACCAAACTACCTGCGTTCAGCGACTCTAACACTAGGCGGCTGGTGGGCTTGTTAGCAGAATTATACTGTGTTATTATTGTATTATGCTATAAAGTAACAATGCTATAAGACTGAGGGTTTGTTCATGGAATAGTTTTGTAACCTATTAAGTATTAAAAAATCATTGTTTCTTTGCAAACTTAAAAAAATTAATAAATAAAATAATAAAATACCGTTCATAGCATTCTCTTTTTTATATTGTAAAAGAGATATTGATTATTATTAGTTTTCTATTTAAAATGTGTCGAAACGCTGGTTTGATAAGGACTTGAACTGCAGGAGACCTACACTGATTATTTTTACTTTAAAAAAAGTAACCACTATAGAAAAAAAAAAAAAAAAAAAATTCAAAAGACTGATAGACTGCTAATCAAGAAATCTCTGATATTGACAAGAAACTTGACAAATTGAAAGGTTAGAAAAGAAAATTCTGAAACCAGTTAAGAACATTTTCTTCATTGCTGGTATTACTGTTGCACCATTAACTGTTATTGTGGTTGCAATAACAGTTAAGTTGTGACAGCGGAGGACAATGATGAAGAACAGTATCTTGTGCATAAAGGGCTAAGTAATAGAAAGAAACAGAAATTAATGAAAATTTCACCATGGAAATAATGGACTGATTGTTGAAGGAGAAATAAATGCATCTCTTTGCTATATGACTGTAGACATTGGTGCTAATGTAACTACTTTCAAAACTGATGTAGATTAGCAAATGGACAGAAATCTGCTGTACATGGCTCCATCTTTGACTCTGCAGATTGTGAACAGAGGGAAAATGAATGTGCACATCGAGTTCGCATTCTCTGTATGAGGCTGATGTAATGGATCCATGAATCACTGAAATTAACTTAAGAAATGCAGTTATTGTTTAGATGTCAAAATAATGAATTTCACAATGAAGAAGTACTGATTTCTCCAATGGAAGAAAATGAAATGAACAACTATAAGATAATTTTTTAGAGTAATATTACATTCCCTCCTAGAACACATGTGTGCCATTATAGTATGCTCAATGGAGATGCTAGTTTCTGTGGAGCTGGGAACACAGACACTGGACACAACAGAAGTGGGGGCAAGTGCTCCTGATCGCCAATTTAATTTGAGGCATTATGGACATATACATATCTGCAAAGAGGAGGAAAGGTGCTGAAGTTCTTGCTTGGAGTAATATGCTTTGTAGCCTTACTGACCTCCATATCTCCCAAGGAGTTTCAGTAGCTAGTCCAATTTTAAAGCAATTAACAGATATTTCCCCAGTGCATGGACTGTTATAATTTTCAGAAAATACTGGGCTTAGGGGCAACAAAACATTTTAGGACAGATCATGGAATTTTATTAATTTCAGATCCATTCCGATGCCTGATAAAAGCATTTCAAATAAATTTAGTATATGCAGAACTAGTTGAGAATATTTTTTGAGATCAAAACATGCTGTTTTGACATTTTGAACAAATACCATGAATGACTTTTGAATATAGCAAAGACAATACACTTGCTTTAATAGTTGTTCCAAAATAATTGATAAGCTCGAAACTATTTAACAAAATACAAAAAGTAACTAAAAATTATGCACAAATATAAATTTTACAATGAAAACCGTTTTGGGAAAAAGCCAAATGTAAAGGATATAACGCTCATAAATCTGCCGAGCGCGGTCAATTTCCTTATGACGAAGTTCAAAGTTAATGTAGGTTAGCCAGGCTTGTTCATCAGGTTCCCATTCTATCCATCTTTCAAAGATCTGGCGTGCACCAGCAATGTTATTAAGTGACTGCTCCATATAGACAAATTTGTACCAAAACTGATTTACTCGAGGCAAATGTGTCACTGCTCGATCAAAAATGTTACGAGCATGATTTACTTGACGATGCCTAAAATATATAGAAAACTAAATATTACAATACATGAATATTAGTTTTTTTTTTTTTTTTTTTTTTTTTTTGTTAATTAAGTAACGTGTTCACAAACTTTAATATTTTCTGTTTATCCGCACCCTCACTAAAAAGTCATGAATATGCGAATATGCTGCTGATTTTGGAGAGCATTCCTAAACTCAATGGTGACTGATTTTTGTCAAGTTAATGCACAAAGGCAAGAACCATTTTTAAAATAGTAAAATTCCACATAATTCTATAAAAATGCAATCAATCAATAAAATTTAAAAAGCAAGAGTATCCGTAATAAAAAACATTTTCTCAGAAACTCTTTCGTAATTAATCCAGAGTTGTCCCCCCCCATATACGAAACAATTAGTTTTCGCTAAAATTAAAAACAGTGAATTGCATATATTTGACATTGTACACAAACACAACATTATGGGCAATGAGCAAATAAACAAGATAGGACTATTTTCAAATGAATTTCTGACCTGCATTCTAACACACTGCTTGCAATTTTTTACATTGCATTTCCATAAAAATCTAGTCATTTATGAAGGACAACTTCATAGAAAGCACACTTTTGTATACTCTATATGGCAATATTATAGAAATAGCCTTTCCCCCCCCCCATCAGCAAGCAAACTCAACAGTCCCATTATGATTCATTATAAGAAAAACATATACACTCAATTAAAAAAATAATAAAAAGATGGTTGAATTTCAAAACTACAAATCCTTAAATAGATGTATGCTATGCACATGTTTAATGGCATCATATTTTGGCAATCCTGGAGACGTACTATGTTGCCTCATGAATACTTTTTAGCCACTTTTTGGTGGGGTTGTGGATAATAAGTACAGAAAAAATATAGTTATAATATTTAAAGAAATCGTTCAAAAATATTCAACTTACTTCATTTCCATTTCAGCATACTTCAACCATAAGGTAATACTTCTTTTGTCGACATCCAGTGCTCGTTCATATACAGAGCGTGCCCTAAAAAATAACTTGAGTTGTCACAAAAGTTTCAAACTCTTAATTTATAAAAAAGCAGAGGATATAAACACTGTTGACAATAAAAAGTGAAAACTAAAAACCTTTAATATCTTTTTAAAACTAAGCACATATCTATGTAATTAAATATTTGTAATTTATTTCATTAAATCATAGGCATATTTTTAATTATAAGTATTTTAATTACATACAATTTAACTATGTTTAAAATATTACATTTGAAGTGTAATAAAATAAATAAAAAATGACAGAGACTAGATTAGTATCATTAATAGTCATATTCATAAAAAAATAACAAAAAATCTGCTATCTGCATATTCATAAGCAAGCAGATGAGATAAAAGTAGAATATTAATAGAAGCAATTATTTACTTACAAGTTATGCAAAAGAGATACTTCAGTAAATTTCTACTAAGTTATGATATAGTCATTAGCATCATACATAACTAATTATCCAAGCATACGAAGTCACAGTATATTTATAGCAGTATGTTTTGTTGATGGTTTCAGTGGAGTAATATGTTGCACGAAGAATCTTTGAAGCAGTTCTGAAATAAATGCAATGAAGTAACTCCTTCATATAAGAATCAAATCATGATCATTGAGGCTAAAATGACAGGAGGATCCTTTATACAGTATTGCCAGTTCATTCACAATGGTATCACACATTATGTTACCAAAAGTGAATAGAAGAGGATATTATAAATCACACATGCTGAAATATTATCCAAATTCGATTCTCTTTTCTGATAATGATTTAACAGATGGAATAAGAATATTCAAATATGTCTCACAAACACATGATAAGAACTGATTTTTAGCAATAAAGGGGTTCGAACAATTCAGGATTTTTCTAAAATATAAATATTGATGCACCAACAAAAATATAAATAATTGATGCACCCTTCAATTATACTTTTTTTTTTTTTTTTTTTTTGTAATTGACCATTAATTTCTGAATCAGACTGCTGAAATGAAAAGATGAAATTGGTCAAAAAGTACTCAAATACCTACTTGCTATTAAAAGTATCTATGGTGTTCTGGCTGAAAATATCATAGTTAACAGTTACTGCTGTTATTACAGGCAGTTACTCGTCACCACTTTGCATAGAATTCAACTGACAAATACAGTCCAAACTTTTCACGCAATAGGTGTCTTCTGCATTTATAAGTAACCATGAAAGCTGTCGACTATCTGAACATAATTGCGGATCGGTTACACCCTTGCAATGCATCTGTTTTCCTAAATGGAATTGGAATCTTCCAGCAGGATAACGCCCCACGTCGCAAGGCTCAAATTGTGTTAGAGTGGTTCGAGGAGCATAAGGATGAACTCGACAGATCTTAACTCGATGGAGCACATTTGTGATGTCATGGAACACCCCCATGTTGGAATATCTCGAATATGTGTGACCACTGTTAAGACATTTGGTACAACCTGTTGCCAGTCATCTACCAAGAACTTGTGGCCACAGTGTCAAGGTGATTTGCAACTGTTTTACAGGCCAAAGGTCGCTACTGAGTAGGTGGTCATAATGTTTTGGCTCTTCAGTTTAGACTGGCAAGTGTAATATAGCTAGCAACTTTTTTATACAATTACGTAAAATACTATTATTTTTAAGAATTTTAATTAAAAGTTTAAGCTCATTTAAAAATTATTCACTGTCACTGCAAATTTTTCTAATTTTGGTTCTTTGGTTTTTATTATAGTGTTGTAAATGATTTTTCTGGAAATATTTGACTGTCAATTAATTAGCTTTGTGGTTTTGACTGTGGTTTAATTTTCAATTACACACACAAAGACACTTTTTGTTACCTGTTAATTTCCTTTTGGCTCTCTTCCCACTGTGCATATTTAATCCAGTTATTTATTTTTGTTCTGTTTTTCCTAATATTGTCTTCAAAAGTCTAAAATAAATAAATTATTTCAGATATATATCAGATATACATGCCTCAATTACAAAATAAATCTAAATTTAAAAAAAAATTACAAGATGTTATATATTATAAGATTACCTTCCTTTTCCGTAGCTGATATTCGGCAAGCTCTTCGGGATCAGATATCTTTTGTTTTGGAGGCTAAAAAAGTTAAAATGCAGTAATACATTATAATATGTTCAACGTCACAAAAATTAATATTAAAAGTGAATTTTTTATTACTCTTTTCATAACAAAAAGCTTTAAAAAAGAAATTTAATTACAATTTATAACACCTATGAAAATCCTAGAAACTAAATTTTAAAGAATTTCTTTTAAAAATTCCACTGGAAAAAATTAGGTTTAGGTTTAAATACAGATTTCATTTTAAGATAATTATTTTATAAAATACTAAAGAAATCATTCTCTCACATTTCATAATTAATTACACAGTAATACTGCTTAGAAAATGGACTGATATTAATAATTTTAAAAATATCAAACTGCTTTTCAAAAAATTAATTAACACCAAACTGCATTTGTATCTATAACATTCATTTTAATTAAGCACTGGGAATTTATAGAACATATATCTTACAGTAGCAACACTATTTCTAGTAACTCTGTATATTTAAATGTTCTAAGCTCTCTTGTAGCTCTATCAAGAGTAGTATAAGAAAAAAAGGTGTATGTATAAAACTTGAAAGAAATATAGCTTATGCTTTGCTGAATGGCAACACTCTGATACACAGAAGATTAAAAATATGCTATTTCAGACAGTGGAATACATTTCTATTAAATCACTAAGTTTGCTGATTAAATTTTAAACATAAATTTAGTCAAAAGTCCAAGACTTTCTACTGTATTTTATGTTTCGCCAAGTGACAACAAATTCTCTGTAAACCACAGAGTTTATTGATAAAAAATTCTCTAAGTTTGCACAAAAAACAAAATTAATAAATTTTTGAAAATCAAAAATTGAGGCTTCAAGGTGCATGTGTTCATGTGGAATACTATGTGTGTTCAAAGTCTGGTGTTCTGCATGCCATTGTTTTTCATAATGCTAACATACAGTTCATAATATATACAGTTCCTTCATTATTTAATAATAAAGATGAGTCTTTATTAGCAATGATCAAAACCTTAAAACTTGGTAGATGTCTGACTGCTTAGCAGAAGATAAATTAAAAAATTAGATCGCTAAAATATGTAACTTATGTTTTATGGAAATCTGTTTTCTTATCTCTCTCATGTGTGCACATATGTGTATGACATATACCAAAATAAATAACTAATTAAAAAGAAACATTTCAAAATACATCAATGACTCGACTAACTCTACTAATATATTTTGATTCTATCTGACTATTTTTGTTAATAAGAAACTTAAAAGTTACTGCTAAAGTGTTCATTCAAAATTAGTTTCTGGTACTTAATGATTATCTGCACACCCACTGAAAAGCTGCAAAGTATTGATGAGGCAATGCAACATGTTCCCCAAAAAGTACTTACAGGATAACCCAAAATATTGTCAAATGTGGCAGTCGAACTATGCATATAACACAATAGCCACTTTCCACAAATTTCGTCAGCATAACTGCAGCTTATAATCATTCCTATTGGAACAACATAGCATAGTGCAATTTCCATCATCTTTGAAATTTCAGACTTAGCTTTCTGAATGCATAGAGTGTAGGGAGACTTCATTAAAAGCATCATCCACCTCTTTTAGTACTTATATTAATACAGCTATCTTGGTGCAACTAAGCATTTTTTTTAAAATGAAAAGGTATTCAATATATTAAAAAGTAAAAAAAGTAGCCATTTAAAATACAAATCATAAGTATTAAATAAGAACTCTATGTCGAAAAAGTAAATAAATAAAAGAATATTTTTTGCAAAATCATTCTGTAATTTTTTGCTTCGTTTTTCTCCACGTTTTGCTTGGGGGGGGGGGGACAGCAAACTGAATAAACCCAAAAATGTTCACAACTTCAGAATTGCTAGCAGGCTATCCATAAACTTGCAACTAATCATCTTTGTTCCCTTTAACCCTTCTGTAGTTGTGAGATTCTTTCTTCCTAAATAAGCACATTTGTCAGTCTTAAATTTGTAATGCAAGCTATGTTCCTTTATGCCCAGTGCTGTGTGTAAGTAGAAAGCAAGAGCAGCTTGTTAAAGACAATGATTTGGCAACAAAATACTATATTCCAGCAGAAATTTCACAGTAACCTGCTGGTAAACTCCACAAATGAATATTTAAAAACTGAGCTTAAAGCAAAAAATATCAGAATTTGTCAATAACAACCATTAGAACTTGGAATACAACAAAAAGAACACATACAAAAATGACAATGTTGTTTGAATGGTTGCCTGATGAATGTTTTATGTACATGGTTGCTGGAATTCAGCACATTCTGATAATTTAGCAACTTCTACAAAGATAATTGCAAGATAAGGTTTTCCTCCCCCCTTCTGATTTTAGGCTCTTGGTACTGAATTTGAGAAATTCTGATTCTTTTTTTTTTTTTTTTTTTCCCCTAGTGAAAATAGGTCCCCACCTACACAGAAAAATCAACAGCATAAAAAACCAAGAATTGTGCATATCTTGTACGGAAGAAAAAGTGTGTAAAAAATGGGTGGCACTGAATGCATTGTTGATATAGATGTAGATGCTTAAACATTTCTCTCTAAAACTGGGAATGAGTTCAAAACTTTTTAGTGGGGATGCAGATAATCAGACAATACCAAAATTTATAGAATAAATGTATCAAAAGTACAAATAAAAAATTCCTGCAATTCATAAATGATCCTCAATGGTGAAAAATCTCTCTACAAAGTTTATTAACATACTGTAAACTACCTGTCAATAAAAAAATAAATATTAGAAGATAACACAAATTTAAAATTAGCATTTGAATAATATAAAACCTAAATTTTCTTTGATTTACTGTGAAATTAACAAAAGGGATAAGACACAAGTACAGATTAAGCATTTTGAATTTAATTTTCAGTTCATTACTTTTTATAAAAAGTAATGATTCTAATTTGTTACTAAACACTAAAGATAAAAAGATAATGTTTAGATTTTCAACACTTTTTGTACAGAAATATTAGAACAGAAATTCACTTGCACATTATCCCAACCACCTTAGTGCAGTTTGGCAAATTTTATGGAAGAAAAAGATTGTCAAAAATTATATATAACATACATGCTTATTATTAAATATTCTACATTTCAGCTATATATTTATTAACCCCCCCCCCAAAAAAAATCAGTAAACCTATTTACAAATGGGTTTTTGTTTTTGTTGTGATGGAAATTTTGTAGCAGTTGCTTTGAGAAAGAAGTCCTTTAACTACTCTGCGACAAAATAATGTATTCCTGTAGAAATTTTACCTACTTTTTATTATTATTATTATTATTATTATTATTATTATTATTATTATTATTATTATTATTATAGGAAAATGCTACTAGCACACATTTTAAAATCAAGTTTAAGATAAAAAGTAATCATATAAAAAAAAAAAAAAACCATCAAAACTTGGAATACAACAAACAAACAAAAACAACAACAAACGAAAATTGCAATATTGTCATGAATAATTGTTATGTATGTGGTTACCAGAGTTTGGTGTATTCTGAAGCTTTGTTGATTTCTACTGAGGTAGATGTGACAATACATATAAACTCATATTTTTTTCAAATTCAGACCTTAATTTAAAATATTTGATTTGAATTTAAAATTTAATTAAATTATGGCATAACTTACCAAATATTTTAATTTTTCGATATACACTTCATCATTCAGAGGGAAGAAATGATACATGTAAATACGATTATAATTATCATTCCTTCTTAATTTTCTTAATAAAGGCTACTAAATAACAAAATTTTGTTGCTTCATTGTTAAAATGAGTAATATATAAAACTTTGGCAACATTGGATAAAGTTGGTTGCACATTAGAGACTGCAAGATTAAATTTGCACTTTTGGTAACTAAGTGCAGTGGCTATTTCAATAAGAAAGTAAAAGATGTTTTTAAACATCTTTTATATTAAATAAAATAACTAACTAAAAAATTGATAAACATAAAAAAGCTCATTTTAAAGGTAACAAAAATGACATAACTTACCGGAGGTAAGATTTCTAAGTCTCTTTCTTTAGCTTCTCTCAGTAATTGTTCTGCAGTAATTTGAATTTCCGCTGGAGTTTTGTTTTTAACCTAGTAAAATGTATATAAAATATTAAAATCAGTATTATTTAAAAAATGTTAAATTCATAAAAGACAATATATAATTCTTAATAAAAACATTTAAAATACTGAAGTATATTTAATAATATAATAAATAAAAAATCTGAAAGCTTTTAGATTTTATATTATGCCCAAAAGGACACTTTTTTCATTTACATACACATTCACATTTCGACAGCATTTGGGCTAAGATATTTTAAAACAACCAATCATTAGAGTTTTTGATAGACAGTCTCGTGCGCTGGAGATAAAAATATTTTTTCCTGTACAATGTTGCCATTGGTCACTTTGAATCATTCAATTTGTTAATCAAAAATTCGTTAAAGTTTTACAAAATTTGCAATACACAATAAAATATTTAAAAACAGCATATCTCTAGAATTTCCAATAGACATTCGTGCACACTGGAGATAAAAATGTTTGTTTTTATACAGCGTTGCTGTTGCTCGCTTTGAAATCGTCAAGTTTGTTAATCAAAAATTTGTTAAAAGTTTTAATAGATAATAAAACAAATTCAAAATTTTGGCATCCAGATGACCCTGTTTGGGTGGAAGATTAAGTTATTAAAAATTTGATGGCTCTAGGTACCGTCATTATTTCACAATACAAGAAACATACATACATTCATGAAGATTATTCATTATTTAATTTCTTCAAATATAATACAGAGTAATAATCTGGGGATTGGGCCTGTTAATACTAGTACAGGATAATAATATTTGGTGGCAACAATTTAAAAAGTGATTCACCATTTATAGTGAAATGCCACAAAAAGCTGTTTTGAGACTAATAGCTTTTCTGGGCTACCAGAAACCCTTTTGGGCTAATAATATACAAATAAATTTAAATTTAAAACATAGTACAGTACAAAAGAACTCTTTCAAGCCATTACCTGAATAACATGTCCCTCTACTTATATCAGTTTTTAAAAATCTAAGAATTTTTAATTTTTTATATATGTAATGTACTCCATTTTTCCTGTTATTGTTTAATTAGAAAAATTACTATTAAATAAGATAAAAAATTCCTGCAATTCATAAATGACCCTCAATGGTGAAAAATCTCTCTACAAAGTTTACTAACACACTGTAAACTACCTGTCAATAAAAAAATAAATATTAGAAGATAACACAAATTTAAAATTAGCATTTGAACAATATAAAACCTAAATTTTCTTTGATTTACTGTGAAATTAAGAAAAGGGATAAGACGCAAGTACAGGTTATGCATTTTGAATTTAATTTTCAGTTCATTACTTTTTATAAAAAGGAATGATTCTAATTTGTTACTAAACATTCTAGTTACTAAATAATTTGATTCTCTGAGCTCAAACTTTATCATACGATTGTTTTTTGTTACAGAAAAACTGATTTAATTACTTTTTTTTACAATAATTAATCTTTATTTAACTCTATGAGTATTTTCCCCTTGAATATCAAAAACATAAAGTTATGTTTAAGGAAAATATAACAATAAAAAAGAAAAGAAAAGCAGATAGTTAATCAAGGCCAATGCTGCCGGGTGTGGCCATGATATAATAACCTGAAGATAATGCTTAGTGTAAGCGACAACTGCTGAGGCATGTCTCATACCAAGGATTCCTTTAGCTTGCTGCTAAAGATAAATTTGATTTAAATTAACTCTTAATGTTAAAATTAAAGTTTTATTTTTAATGTAAAATGGGAAAAGAAAGAAAATTAGCATGCCAACCTTCAATGAATTAGGAGACTCATTAAAATTCAATAACATTCAAATTTTTAAAAATGTCATAAATGTAATTCAGTAACAAAATTTTAATCAATAGTTAATTTATAACAAAGTAAAAATTCATATATAGCCCCCCCCAAAAAAAAAGTGAAAGGAAAGAAAAACCACAGGCTAATTTGAATGAAATGCATTTAACTAATCCTTCTAACTTAAACAGTCTAGATCAGGTCTATAAGTTCATCACAAATAAGGGGAAAATGGCTGCGTTTGCTCTTGGGTAGCTTAAGTTAAATGCAGTAGTGCAAGTCTACCCAGCTTCATCCCAAATTTAATAGAGAACACATAGGAAGAGGGATCCAAAGGTTTCTTACTCTGTTCTTTCTGGCTCTTTAACAACCTTTGATCAAAATTTTTTGCTCGACAGTTCTCAAATTAAAGTTCTCAAATGCTGCAAAGTAACAAGACATTTACAAATATCTAGGCCGGCTCTGGATCAAACAAGGCAGCAAATGAAATTTGGCATGTGTGATGTATACGAACTAATAAACAAATGATTACAGTAAGAATATTTAAAACTCTTTATGTTTTACATTAAAAATATTATTAATTAGTGATACATAAAGCATTCTTTGGTAGGTCTATGAGATTACATATTCTTAATGTGGCTCTGGGATATATTTTCTAGCTCTTTCAAATTACTAATATTACTGTAAAAGCTTGCAGTCTTGTAAATCCTATGTTTTACCAGTAAACCAAAGTGGCTTGGTAAAAGTCCAAAGTATGCTTTAATTTGATTTCATTTCGGGCTTTTACCAAGCCTCTGTGGTAAATCCTAGGAGTTGCTAATTCCTTCTGGTAAAAGCATGAAACAAGGGATTACTTAAGATAGGATTTTCCATTTGCAGTACAGTGTGTTTCCAGAGAGTTAAAACACATTTTAATTTTTTAATTAATAATATAAATTGTAAAAGTGATCAAAATAAAGTATGATTTAAGATTATGTAGTTGGAACTGTCTTACAATTATTTTTCAAAGAGTTACAAGAAATAAAAATAAAAAAATGTGATATTTATGCCATTTTGCAATTACAATCCCATGTGACAAAGGAAGGGATAGCTCAGAAAATAAAATAAAATAAAAATTTTGAAATTTGAAAAATAAGAAAAATGTAATACATTTTCTTTAATACCTGTTATAACAAGGTTGACTGTTATGGCATTTTGAATTACAAATCAAATGATTTGCCCAAACACATCTTCATAGGACACTTTGAGAGGATGCATTTTCCGAGTCCTTGTCCCTCAGCTAAAGAAAGTCTTTTTACTACTTCACATACACTTATTTCTTCTGTACCAACTTCTTCGATGTTGAAAAAATTTTCTTTGCGAAAGGTAAACTGGTTTCTTGTGTACAGCAATTTTAATTTACCTAACTTAGTACCAAGAACATAAAACATGTCACCTTTGATATCTGTAATAACAGCTTATTAATCCTTTTTAATCCATTTTTGATCTATCAATAACCAGTACTTTTAACATTTTGTCCAAGAGCAGGTGTTGGAAAGTTTTAGTAGACACAGTCTTCACTTCTTTGCCTGCTTCTCAAGTCCTTCCTTAGCTGTCTCTAGAAACACTTTGATATTTTGAACTCTGTTAATAATCGCACACATTGTGGCAGAGCATTTATCCAGTTCTTTTTCTATTATTTGAACTTCAGTATCTATTCAGTATTCCATTGTTATGCATGAATCATTTTCACGTGTATTATTATTATTATTATTACCTTGAAAGTCTAAATTAACTGTTGATTCGAGATTAGTGCCTTCATCTTCTGTATTAATCATGCATTCATTATTAATATTTATAATTTTTTCTAAGTCCTCTTCAGTGGTCATGTTACTAATCAAATTACGTGGCAAAACTGAGTTAGCAAGTCCCAGCTTCAAAGAACAACCAAACATAGCTTCATAAGGTGAACATTTGATTCCCTCGTGATATGCTTTGTTTTCCACTGCTTGAACAAATTTTAATCGTTCTGACCACTTTTCTGTCTTATTTGTTTCCATCCATGTTGCCAACATGTTCTCAACGTCCTGGTTCGCCTGTTCGACAGAACCTTGCGATTGACAGCGTATCTGTTTACATTAATTACTTTTATTTGACAGCACACTTCTCATAAACTGTTTATGATTTGGTCACAAAATTCCCTCCCATTGTCAGAATGGAGAATGTTGGGGCTGGAAAAGTTGTGAAAATATCCAGAAGGTGATATGCTACTTCGTCAGTTCTTTTACTATGTAAACTTCGGAGTAGGATGAATTTTGGGGTAGAGTAGACTTTTAAGTACCCCTTATATTATGGCGAAGTTGTTGTTTGATTTATCGCCAAGGTGCTGTTTCATTTATGGTAGCCTGAGTAGTTGAATGTCATGGAAACCCTATTGTAACATAATCGGGTGCATGATTCTGGGAAATTTTGAATCATGGGATGTTTTGTAAGCGTTTTTGTGGTGTGTGTTGGTTTGATTCTTTAGACGGTAGAATGGCCGAATATAGTAAGATTAATTTGTAAGTAGTATGTTTCTGTACGATTTGGAGTGAAAGGGGAAAATAGCTTTAATTGACTGGTGTGTAAATGAAGGTTTACTTAGTAGCCATTATAAGTGTCCTGTATGTAGGAAGGATATGCGTCTAGTCGAACGTAAAAACCGTTTAGATGGATTTGAATGGGTTTGTAGGAAGAAAGGTTCAGATGGTCACTATGTGAAGCATTTGATCAGAAAGAGTACCTGGTTTGAAAAAAGTCATTTGAGTATGATTGATATTTTGATTTTTACGTGGCTGTGGGTGTACGAAGCGAACTCAAAAATCATGGTAAGTGAATATTTACTTTTGGTAGTGCTTAAATGTATAACATGTTTTTCCTTTTTTATGTTATTTTATTGTTTGGTTTAAAATGTATTTTATTGAGATTATGTATTTTTTGTTTGCCTATATTGTAGAATTTGGTGCTCCTTTGACTTTTTAACTGAAAATATATCGATGTGTACATGGACAAAGTAAAGGGAGTGCGCAATGCAAAGTTTGTGCAATTCGCGGATTTTTTTTTTAAGTGAAAATAGGTCGACGTGTACATGGATAAAGTCAAAAGAGTGCGCAATGCCATTTTTGTGCAATTCGGGGATTTTTTTTTTTTTTAAGTGAAAATAAATCGATGTGTACATAGATACCGAGTCTGTGCAATTGTTTGTCTTGTTATTTTGGC